GCCCGTGGTGCGCGCTACGTGCGCGACCATGCCTTTTGGCCGAATCATCGAACAAACATGGAAATACTTCAAACAGTATAAGCTGACTGAACATGACAAATCATGAAATGACTAAATACATGACAATAGCTCGAGAGATTTTGAATAAAACATGAACATACACGATATGACTACACTCACGGTCGATTACAACTTCTAAGCTAACTCACGAGCATGACCGAACGATTAACTCGAATATGATCTCACTGAGTTAAAGGGAAGATCAATAGAAGTATACCTTGACCATCGCTCGATTAAAATGCGTTCGGTATTGTTATCATCCGACTCGGTAAAACACGATTAAGGACCTTGAACAGCACCATAAGCAAATTTGACTCGAACACCGACGTAATAAAGTCATCCCGGTTCGCACAATAAACCGGTACGACCGTAGAAGACCGAAGTGATCCTTACCCACCGAAGTCAGTCCAAACCGAGGTCAACATGAACCGAGGTCGTCACCTCCTAAAGCAGGTGACAAGGCACCTACACGCCCCGCTCACGATCCACGAGATCTGTCATCATTTGCATAGGGCCCACTAGCTCCGCCGCCCAACAAAAGCAGCTTTATCGGAAAAACAATGCACATATCCCGATGTATCTACCAAAAAGTTACTATAAATAGCTAGCTAACAGTATTTGTACGGGGGGAATCCCTGAAAAACCGATCTCATATAATGAAACGCGAAACAGCTCATAGAAGCTTTTCACCTCGGTTCACATTGTTGAGTATTTTATACATGCTTTACGATCAAATTAATCATCACTACGAAATAACCGCAGAACTAAATCGTTGTCAAGAATCATATAACAACAGTTTGGCGCTAGAGGAAGGGCCTCATAAGTGATTTGAGGCAACTCTCCAAGTTTTGTGTAGTGATTCACGTCAGCCATATCCATCATGTCTCATTCTGATCATCGTGGTCATACTTCACGAGATGGCCACAGTCGCAGTGCTGCGCAATCCGCCCGACGACACGTCGTAGCTCCCCATATACCAGATTACACTGTTCTGTTTCAAAATCCAGAGTTTGCACGAGGATTTGCTACCTTGATGGCTCAAACGATTCCTGGAGCATCAACGACTGCCCCAAGACATTCCATAATACCCACAACACCCGCAAATCCGCAGAATCCACCGGCACGGCAAGACGGCGGAAAGACCACATCTCACGCCACGTCTCAACCCCGCATTCGAGCGTCGCAGCCGCCTCCGGAACAAACCACGTGTCGCACCGACGTCGGACGCAATCCCCTTGTACTTCCTCATGAAGAAACCGCCGAAAGTCAGTCTGGACATTCACGACGATCACTGCCTCATGCGCGACACCGAATCCCTTCTAATCCAGCTCAAACTGACCTGCGTCAACACATTGAGAGAAATCGAGCTCGCCAAGAATCTTCCGAACTCAAAACATTGCGACGAAGAATCGCCGAGTTGGAAAGTCGGCAAAAGATGCCTGAAGACCCTCCTCGGCGGACCTCAACTTCAGCACAAGTATATCTGGAAGCCGACTCCCCTCTCACACCGGAGCTCACTTTGGAACCTGTACTTGGGAAAGTCAAAGTTCCTCAAATTGGGTTATATGATGGAACTTCAGACCCCGACTCGCACCTCGGTCACTATACTTCGTGGATGGATCTGCATGGGGCCTCAGACGCACTTCGGTGTCGTATGTTTTCTCTCACGCTGGGGCCTCGGGCCCAAAAATGGTACCATTCTCTTCCTCCTCATTAAATTTGGAAGTGGCAACAATTGAAGTCGGCTTTCCGATCTCATTTCATCGGGGCCCAAGTTTGTTTGATTCCAAAAGAATCTCTTGCAAATGTAACTCAAAAAGATGATGAAAGTGTCAAGGATTACATTGCTCGATTTAACGACCGAGTTCAGAATATGGAGTCGTGTCATCCTGAAACTTTGCTTGTTATGGCCATTGCTGGGTTAAAATCGAACTCGATTTTTCGCTGGACACTATGTCAGAATAAACCAAACACCTTTCAAGAATTTTTTGCTCGAGCTCAACAACACATCATAGCTGAAGAAGCCATGTCGGTCCCCGACTTTAATTTTAACCCGAAGTCATCTAAGGCGGGAACCGACGAGAAAAAGAAAAACAAACTTTTTGAAAAGCAAAACAAGACTCAGTTTAGAGGGCCTCCCCGAGGAGATCCCAACGATCCTGAAGTTCGAGCAGCCCGAAAACAGTATGCTACCGATGTGAAATCTGGTTATCAGACCGTATATTCAACTGGGGCTGCCACCATATACGAAGAAATCAAAGGGAAAGGTATTTTACCAGATCCCAAGCCACTTCAGATGCCCGAGGAGAAGTTAGACAAATCCCGATATTGCGATTATAATAAATCGCCAGGGCACAATACAGATGAATGCTTAAGTTTGTTAGCGGCCTTGTTGCGTTTAATCGGTCATCCACAGCTCAGAAAGTTCTATCGCAATACCGATCCCCAAAAACAAGGACCAGTACGTCAAATTGAATCGTATGATGACGACGAGGAGGAGGATCGAGGTGTTATGCCAAAACGCATCCGACAAGGGGACAAGGAAGTATTTATGTTTACCTTGGAAACACCCAATTCTAACTCCACTGGAACCTCCCGAGGACGCAAGCGAGACCGATCTCCTAGCCCGATGCAAATCACCGTCCACCGTGTCAATACCAATAACACCCGGAGTACATTATCTCGTCGACAGATCAAAGCCTATGCCCGACAAGCGTACAACTCCAGCAAACAAGTATACACTACCGATTTAAGAGATATCCTCAACAATCGGAACTGTCCCATAACCTTCAATATGGAGGATACCAACCATTTCGCACACCCTCATTCCGACGCGCTAGTTATTACCGTTCCTATCTATGGAATTCCAGTACACCGTGTTATGGTAGATACTGGGGCCTACTCGAGCATTTTGATGCTAAAAGCTTTTGACAAAATGGGACTTGATTCCGCCGACATCCGACCTTGTAATGACCAAATACAGGGATTCAACAGGAGTATTTCAAAGCCTATCGGCGAGATCACTTTACCTGTCAGATTCGGCACTTTGAAGAACGTCACCAAGCTCGTCATGGAAACTTTCAAAATTCTTGACATCAGTAATGAATACAATGCGATCATCGGAAGAACAGCTTTATACAAGCTCCGAGCCGCAGTTTCCATTTTTCATTACGCTTTGAAATTCCCAACCACACGAGGAGAAGGAACACATTTCAAAGACCAAAGAGAAGCTCGAGAACTTGTAACATTCATACCCTCCCGCGGAATCTATTCCACCACTACGGGTAATGACGAAAATTCCTCACGACGGACCACCTCGGATGAAACGATTTCCGAAGAACCGGACCACAATACCACTGTTCCTTCCACCTCCGACCCCTTGTCTGCAGACCGAGGTAGACGGCCCGGAAAGGAGCCACTCCGTGAAGAAGACGAGTTGGACCCAAGAGCCCAATTCAAAGAAAAGAGCCGAAGTGATCGAGCCGAACCTGGAGAAGACGTAGAACTGATCTATATTGACGAACCAATCTTCCACAAATCGCTGCGCATTGGGAGTCACCTTCAAGAGCCTCTTCGTTCAGAACTCATCTCATTTCTCAAGCATAATTCTGACTTTTTTGCTTGGAAACACGAAGACATGAAGGGCATTGACCCCAGTGTTGCCAGCCATAAATTAAACCTCGACCGGACTGTCCGGCCAATTGTGCAGAAACGAAGAAAATTGGGACTGGACCGTCAGAAAGCGTTGGAAGAGGAAGTTAAGAAACTCATCGACAACAAGTTCATTAAAGAGGCCAAGTATCCGACATGGGTCTCGAACCCCGTTCTCGTCAAGAAGAGCAACGGCCTGTGGAGGCTGTGTATCGACTTTTCCGACTTGAACAAAGCATGCCCGAAAGACAGTTACTCGCTCCCTCACATAGATTATATGGTTGATGCCATATCGGGACATGAGTTGATGAGTTTTATGGATGCCTACTCCGGTTATAATCAAATTCCTATGGATCCCGAAGATTCCGAACACACCTCATTCTATTTAGCACGGGGCTTGTACTGTTATACCATGATGCCATTTGGGTTAAAAAACGCTGGGGCCACTTATCAGTGTCT